TAAATGCCAGACACTCAACCCTGTAGGTGTTGAAAGAGACAAAATATTTTGTAAAGGAATGTGATCAGAAATTTCGCCAGTCAGATACGCGGCATCTGTAATCTGGGACAATAGAGACAAGTTGGCAAAAGCTAGATCTACAGTTGCGTGAAAAAGTATGTGAACCCCTTGGGATTACGTGGAGTTTTGCATGAATTGGGCATAAAATGTGCTCTGAACGTCATCTAAGTCACAACAATAGAAGAACACAGTCTGCTGAACATAATTCTACACAAACATTAGATGTTTCCATGGTTTAATTGCACATAACATGTAAACATTCACAGTGCAGGGAGGAAAAATATGTGAACCAGGGGCGGACTGACAATTCATGGGGCCCCCGGGCAATAGGGGACCATTGGGCCCCTGTGTCCTTGCCCAAACTCAAAAAAAGCCTATGAAAAAGATACCAGGGGCATCTCATGGGGCCCCCTACGGACCCCGGGCCCTCAGGCAGTGCCCGAGTTTGCAAATGGTCAGTCCGTCCCTGATGTGAACCTTTGGACTTAATAACTGGTTGACCCTCCTTTGGCAGCAATAACCTCAACCAAACGTTTCCTGTAGTTGCAGATCAGACCTGCACAACGATCTGGAGTAATTTTGGACCACTCCTCTTCACAAAACTGTTTCAGTGTAGCAATATTCTTGGGATGTTTGGTGTGAATCTCTCTCTTAAGGTCATGCCACAGCATTTCAATCGGGTTGGGCCACTCCAGAAGGCGTATTCTGTGCTGTTGCAGCCATTGTTTTGTTGAATTACTTGTATGCTTTGGGTCATTGTCCTGTTGCATCACCCATCCTCTGCGGAGCTTCAGTTGGCGGACAGATGGTCGTACGTTTTCCTGCAAAATGTCTTGATAAGCTCTGGAATTCATTTTCCCATCAATGACAGCAAAGCAGCCCCAAACCATGATGCTCCCTCCTCCATGTTTTACAGTGGGGATGAGGTTTTGATGTTGGTGTGCTTTGCCTTTTTTTGCCCTTTTTTTGTTTTTTTTCTTCCCAAACAACTCAATCTTGGTTTCATCTGTCCACAGTATATTTTGCCAGTAGTGCTGTGGAACATCCAGGTGCTCTTTTGCAAACTTCAAATATGCTGCAATATTCTTTTTTGGACAGCAATGGCTTCCTCCGTGGTGTCCTCCCATGTACTCCATTCTTGTTTAATGTTTTCCTTATTGTAGATGTGTCAACAAAAATGTTAGCATGTGCCAGAGATTTCTGTAGGTCTTTAGCTGACACTCTGGGATTCTTCTTTACCTCATGCAGCATTCTGCGCTGTGCTCTTGCAGTCATTTTTACAGGACGACCACGCATAGGGAGAGTAGCAACAGTGCTAAACTTTCTCCATTTGTAGACAGTCTGTCTTACCGTGGACACATGAACATCAGGGCTTTTGGAGATACTTTTGTAACCCTTTCCAGCTTCATGCAAGTCAACAATTCTTGATCGTAGGTCTTCTGAGAGCTCTTTTCTGTGAGGCATGGTTCACATCAGACAGTGCTTCTTGAAACCAGTAAACCCAAAACAGGTGTGTGTTTTTTAAGGGCTGGACAGCTGTCAGCAACACATCCAATATCATCACACTGGAGTCAAGGTTGGCTCACTCCTGGCTCCAATTAGCTCTGGGAGAAGTCATTAAGCTAGGGCCTCACATACTTTTTCCTCCCTGCACTGTGAATGTTTACATGTTATGTGCAATTAAACCATGGCAACATCTAATGTTTGTGTAGTATTATGTTCAGCAGACTGTGTTCTTCTATTGTTGTGACTTAGATGACGTTCAGAGCACATTTTATGCCCAATTCATGCAAAACTCCACGTAATCCCAAGGGGTTCACATACTTTTTCTTGCAACTGTATTTTGGAGGAAGAAGAAAAGTCAGCAAAAAAGTAGGAAAATCTCTGAAGAGTCGGGTTTTACCAATGCCAGGACTCAGTAAGGGCAGCGGACTCTGCCCAATGCTTCGGTTCTAGATTTTGCACCCTGGAGGATTAGTAGTGTCCAGGGCATTGTTGAAATCCCCAGCTAGGAGTAATTTTAAAGGCATATGGGGGCCAACTTCTCTAGGACAGTATAAAAAATCTGACTATTAAAGGGTGGTAAAATATATATATTTGCCAGCACCAGCAAATGACAATCGATCTCCAGTATAACCAGCACATACCTGCCCTGGGGATCAGTGATGACATGTTGTATTTTACAAGCCAGTTTTTTGAGCAGTAAAATAGCAACACCTCTAGCTTAAGAGGAGTAGGAGGAGTTTACAGTCCTGCGTAGAGATAGCACTCTGTTGTCAGTAAGGTGCGTCTCCTGGAGAAGAACTATATGTGGATGTTGGACTAAATATTGTAAGACTAAAGATCATTTAAACTTGGAGTTTAGGCCCTGAACATTCCAAGACAAGACTTTAAGAGTACTCATTGCACCAGGTAGTGAAGTATGGTACAGGAAGCAGGAAGGGACACAGAAGGATGGAGAGAACCGCACCCAACCAGTCACAGGCAAAAGAGTCAATCAGCAGTATTAACGGTGAGGCTAAAAACAAAAATGACAACCCCAAGCCATATCGGGATAAAAAAAAAAAATAACACACCCGCCATGGCAGCCAAAAGTAAAAAAGAAAAATAAGTTTCCTGTTTACTCTGGCAAAACGAACTAGAATCAACAACATGCCAGAAACCTTAGACCCAAACTAGAAAAAACAATTCAAAGAATTTGACAAAGCTGTTGTGTTGAACTCGCAGTCAGCTAGGGTACAACATGCTGTAGGGAAAACCTTTGTCCCGAAGTCGTCTACAGACATCTACAAAGGAACACCTCTTCTTCTGGAGTTCAGGAGAAAAGTCCGGATAAAGATGGATAACAGCATGCGGCTGCTGATGCTTACGAGTTTCAGAAAGGATTGTATCACAATCTCTAAAGTTGAGGAAATTAACCAAAAATGGCCTCGGAGGAGAGCCCACAGGTTTAGAGCCCGTAGAGACTCTATGGGCCCATTTTACCACATACACAGGAGACACATTTTGTAGGCCCAGAAGTTGTTTGAATAATTTTTCCACAAGGAACACAGGGTTGGAGACCTCAACTTCCTCTGGCAAGTCGACCAGCCTCATTGTTGCAGCGGATCCAGTTCTGCGCACACTCTGAGAGGGCTATCAGGAGTCAGCCAGGGTTTAAGTGGTGATAGCAGTGGTGTCTTTCACCTCAGATAAGTGGGATTCTGCAGCAGTAAGTCGGCCCTGGAACTTGTCCAGGTCCTGCCGAATCAGCCCACATTATAGCGCCAGAGTGTCTATTTTAGTCATGAGAGAGGACTTGCTGGCTTTGATGACTGCCAGGATAGTCGCTGTCACTGGTTCCACTGGAAGATCATCCGCCACGGCAGGAAAGGAGCATTCCATCTCTAATTCCATAGCTGCAGCCATCCACCTCTCCATCTGCACTGCCACTGAGGCCGAGGAAGGAGAAACTCCAGGCAAGATGGCTGCCACAAGTGTTCCTTGGGCCCCAAGGAGGCTGAATTTCTGCCTGTCCAACCTTTGTTCGGCAAGGAGAGAACAGGTGGTACTCTTCAGGCAGCAGCGCGATCCGTCACCGGCCGTGTACCTCGGACACGGCCGATGACAGATCTGAGTATCGGCCCCCGTTGCCGGTACCATGTGACCTGCTGTGACCAATCACAGCAGGTCACATGACAGTTGTATACAATGGATGGCTTCATTCATGCCATCCATTGTATACTACTGCCTAGCTGTGAATGGTCACAGTTAATCACATGCACATGTCATGTGATTAGCTGTGGCCAAATCACAGCTAAGCACAAAAAAAAAAAAAAAACCCTGAATGAATCGATGTCATTCAGGTAAATGCTTGATTATAGCAAAGTAATTATGTGCTATAAGCAAATTGTGTAAAAAAAAAAAGTACTGATCACTTCCCCAAAGTAGTACAATGTTACTATGGTAACATTGTACTACTTTGGACATAGTGAAATGTGACAAAAAAATCTTAAAAAAAAGAAAAAAAATGTAATAAAAAATTCAAAATAAAAAAAAAAAAATCTATTTTTTTTTCACACTGTCACCAGTCAGTGTCCCTGATCACTGCCATGCCAGTTATATGATGACGCTGTACTGCACTGGTGACAGTATGTAAAAAAAAAATTGTGAAAATAATTTTTTTTTTTCATTTTCCAAAAAATTATGACAAAAAAATACAACATCAAAAAACTCGCTATTCCTCTTATGAAGTACGTCGGACTGTCTACTTTGCAAAAAGGGGTCATTTGGGGGATATCTGTACTGTTCTGACATTCTTGGACCTCAAGAAATTAGATTGGCTGTCAGTACTTTAGGATTGATCAATATTCAGATCTATACCATAGTTTATGAACTCTATAACTTTCCTACAAACTAAAAAATACGTCCTAATTTGGGTGTAGCAGAATACATCTCGGCCTAAATTTATGAAGAACAATTATTTATTTGCAAACTTTTATAACAGAAACAAAGAAAAACGTGTTTTTTTTTTTTTTTTAAATTTTCAGACTTTTTTGTTAATTTAGCAAAAAATAAAAACCCCCGCGATGATTAAATACCACCAAAAGAAAGCTCTAGTTGTGTGAAGAAAATTATAAAAATTTTAGTTTGGGTACAATGTTGTATGACCACGCAATTGTCATTCAAACTGTAAGAGCGCTGAAACCTGAAAAATGGCCTGGGCAGGAAGGTGTAAAATTGCCCGGTATTGAAATGGTTAAAGAGGAACTTCTCCTTTTGGGTGGAGCTCTGCTTTAATGAATACTTGCTGATGACATACTGCAGTTCTTGCTGAATGATCCTTTAACCACCTCCCACCCGCCATATAGTACAATGACAGCGCAAGGTGGTTCTCTTGTTCTGGGACGACATCATATGACGTCGTCCCATTCTAACCGCGCATGCGCAGCTCCGGGAGCGTGCAGCACGGAGAACGACAGTACGCTGTGTCCCTCGGACACAGCGGATCACCGATCAACGGAAAGATCCGAAGATGTCGGCTTGGTCATGTGATCAGCTGTGTACAATCACAGCTGATCACATGTAAACAGGGAAATGCCCGTTATCGGCATTTCTCTCCTCACGAGCTGTCACGCTGACAGCTCGAGAGGAAAGGAGAGCCGGTAATCGGCATTCCTTGGAGGGGACATGTACACTGATCATCAGAGCACTGATGATCAGTGTGCCCTGATGATCTGTGTAGCCCCAGCAGTGCCACCAGTCAGTGTCCATCAATGCCAGCTGTCAGTGCTCATCCAGGCCACCTGCCAGTGCCCATCAGTGCCACATCAATGCCACATATCAGTGCCTAGCAGTGCACATCAATGCTACATATCAGTGCCCATCTGAGCTGCCTTTCAGTGTCACCCATCAGTGGCAGTCAGTGACACCTATCAATGCCAGTCAGTGCCACCTATCAGTGCTGCCAATCAGTGCCACCTATCAGTGCCAGTCAGTGCGCCTATCAGTGTGCATCAGTGCCCATCAGTGCTGCCTATAAGTGCCGCCTAAGAGTGCCAGTCAGTGCCGCCTATCAGTTGCGCCTATCAGTGCTATATATGAGTGCTGCCTTTCAGTGCCCATCAGTGATGCCTGTCAATGCCCATAAGTGCAACCTACCAGTGCCTCCTCATCAGTGCCCATCAGTGCAGCCTATTGGTGCCCATCAATGCAGCCTCATTAGCGCACATCAGTGAAGGAGAAAAATCACTTATTTACAAAATTTTATAACAAAAACTAAGATAAAACGTTTTTTTTTTTCACAATTTTCAGTGGTTTTTGCTTTGTTTAACAAAAAATAAAAAATCCAAGAGGTGATTAAATACCACCAAAATAAAGCTCTATCTGTCACAAAAAAATGATAAAAATTTCATATGGGTACAGTGTTGCATGACCGCGCAATTGTCATTCAAAGTGTGACAGCGCTGAGAGCTGGAAATTGGCCTGGGCAGGAAGGGGGTATAAGTGCCCGGTAGGGAAGTGGTTAAAGCCTAAATTTTAAGCAGATATAAAATGTCACCATTAACTCCATTTCTGCACTTATTAGAAAAAAATGTAAATTGTATTTCTGCATTGAACTAGTATAATTACCAGAATCTACCTGCCTCATGAAGTCCTCTGAACAACAAAAGCAATCATAACTGGAAAGTAAAAGGTCATCAGAGTTAAAGTGGTTCTAAAGCCTTGAGGGTTTTTTTCATGACCTAATGTATTGAAAATTGTAGGCATTAGGTAAAAACCTTCTTTGCTGGAATACCCCCCCCAGCCCCCCTCCATTATACTTACCTGAGCCCCATTGTGATCCAGTGAAGCGCATGAGAGCAGTGGCTTTCTCCTTTCTGTCCCTCCTCACAGGGCAGATCCATGGCAGTCATGACCCATCGGCTCTCAATGCTGTTGATCAAACCCTAGAGCAGCGGTTCTCAACCTGGGGGTCGCGACCCCTTCGGGGGTCGAACGACGCTTTCCACAGGGGTCGCCTAAGACCATCGGAAAAACACATATTTCCGGATGGTCATTAGGAACCGAGACACCGCTCCTCGCCGCCGCCGCCGCCCACCGCCGTCTCCAGGTGTGGGCGGGATGACATGCCGCCCCTGTCATCTGGACACACCTCGAGATCAATCCTCGCCTGTGATTGGCCGTTGGCACTGTAGCTCAGGAGAGGCACACAGGCGGCCAATCACCGGCAAGGAGGTGGAGCTTGGAGAGGAGGAGCCGAGCGCACACCGCGAAGATCAAGCGAGTGAAGAGGAGGAGGAAGCGGCCGGAGAAGGAAGACATCTGACAGGTAAGTGTCGGTACCATGGGAGAGGGAGGGAGCAGCGAGCCCAGGCTGGAGCAGGGGTCTGCAAGGTAAGTATCATTGGTTCAGTGGGAATTAGTGCCCCATCATTGGTGTCACTAATACCAATGATGGGGCACTATTCCTCCCACTGACACCAACGATGGGACACTATTCCTCCCACTGACACCAATGATGGGGCACTATTCCCCCACTGACACCAAACGATGGGCACTAATTCCTCCCCCACATGACACCAAGGATGGGGCACGATTCCTCCCCCCACTGACACCAAGGATGGGGCACGATTCCTCCCCCCACTGACACCAAGGATGGGGCACAATTCCTCCCCCCACTGACACCAAGGATGGGGCACAATTCCTCCCCCCCCACTGACACCAAGGATAGGGCACTATTCCTCCCCCCACTGAACATTTTCCAAGGATGGGGCACGATTCCTCCCCCACTGACACCAAGGATAGGGCACTATTCCTCCCCCACTGACACCAAAATGGGGCACTATTCCTTCCCCCCACTGACACCAAGGATGGGGCACTATTCCTCCCCCCACTGACACCAAGGATGGGGCACTATTCCTCCCCCCACTGACACCAAGGATGGGGCACTATTCCTCCCCCCACTGACACCAAGGATGGGGGCACTATCCTCCCCCCACTGAACACCTTGATGGGGCACTATTCCTCCCCCCACTGACACCGATGATGGGGGGCACTATTCCTCCCCCCACTGACACCGATGATGAGGGCACTATTCCTCCCACTGACATCGATGATGAGGCACTAATCCTCCCACTGACACCGATGATGGGGCACTTTTCCTCCCCCCACTGACACCGATGATGGGGCACTATTCCTCCCACTGATACCGATGATGGGGCACTATTTCCTCCCACTGACAGCGATGATGGGGCACTAATTCCTCCCACTGGATACCGATGATGGGGCAACTATTCCTCCCACTGATACCGATGATGAGGCACTATTCCTCCCACTGACACCGATGATGGGGCACTATTCCTCCCACTGATACCGATGATGAGGCAACTATTCCTCCCACTGACACCGATGATGAGGCACTATTCCTCCCACTGACACCGATGATGGGGCACTATTCCTCCCACTGACACCGATGATGCGGGGCACTATTCCTTCCACTGACACCGATGACGGGGCACTATTCCTCCACTGACACCGATGACGAGGCACTATTCCTCCCACTGACGACACCGATGACGGGGCACTATTCCTCCACTGACACCAATGACGGGGCACTTATTCCTCCCACTGACACCAATGACGGGGCACTATTCCTCCCACTGACACCAATGACGGGGCACTATTCCTCCCACTGACACCAATGATCGGGCACTATTCCTCCCACTGACACCAATGATGGGACACTATTCCTCCCACTGACACCAATGAGGGGCACTATTCCCCCCCACTGACACCAATGATGGGGCACTATTCCTCCCACTGACACCAATGATGAGGCACTATTCCTCCCACTGACACCCAATGATGGGGCACTATTCCTCCCACTGACACCAATGATGGGACACTATTCCTCACATGACACCAATGACGGGGCACTATTCCTCCCACTGATACCAATGACGGGGCACTATTCCTCCCACTGACACCAATGACGAGGCACTATTCCTCCCACTGACACCAATGACGGGGCACTTTCCTACCACTGATACCAATGACGGGGCACTATTCCTCCCACTGACACCAATGACGGGGCACTATTCCTCCCACTGACACCAATGACGGGGCACTATTCCTCCCACTGACAACCAATGACGGGGCACTATTCCTCCCACTGACACATTCTCCACTGACACCAATGACGGGGTACTATTCCTCCCACTGATACCAATGACGGGGCACTATTCCTCCCAATGACACCGATGACGTGGCACTATTCCTCCTACTGCAAAATTACAGTTATGAAATAGCAACGAAAATAATTTTATGGTTGGGGGTCACCACAACATGAGGAACTGTATTAAGGGATCACGGCATTAGAAAGGTTGAGAACCACTGCCCTAGAGGCTACTGACAGGAGGTGAGGAAGCAATTCAACGACTCCCCAACACCTGTTTTTAACCCCATTTTTGCCAACAAATGCACTGCAACCGCTTGAATTACATGCAGTTGCGTGGCTTTTGCGTTGCTTTCCTATTGACTTGATTGTGTAGCATTCAGAAAGGGTGATTACTACAAGTCAGGTCAACTTTGCCAAGGGCACGAAGTGAAGCATCACGGCCGCAGCATGTAAACACCCGTCTTCGCTGCCTATTGCAGCTTATGGGGGGTGGCTGGCGGGCGGCAGAAATGCCCCCCCAACTGCAAGTGTAAACAAGGCCTAAGGCTTCATTCACGTGGGTCATACTACAGTGAAGGCCGTCCTATTGATGTCAAATGGGACACAGTAGCTGCACATGAATGCACAGGTGTTCTGTGCATTCCTGTGCAGGCAGTCCCATTCATGTCAATTGGGACACAGTACCTGCATGGACACAGCCACAGCTCCCAATTTGAAATCCATATGGGTGCATGTCCCTGAACTCACACTGTCTGTGTTTGGGGGCCATACACCTACACCCGCACGGATGGCATATCTGTCCTTGCAGCTGCTGAGTCCCAATTGACATGAATGGGTCTGCCTGCACAAGGATGCACAGAACACTTGTGCATCCCGGTGCGGGTAAACGCGGCTCTCCATGGGCATATTCTTTAGTACACCCCATGTGAATGAGGCCTTAGTAGGAATTTAGCAGGAATTTTGTAAGTTATTACATATAAGTGCAAAAAAATTACAAAAAAAAATGTACTGTATATACTATTGTGAAAATAACATCATTAAAATGAACTCCACTGAATTATGATTCAGTCCAAAAACAGTCCCATGCAAGCTTGTGCACTCCTCTAAATGTAAACATGACTTCAGTATACTGTAATTCCTTCAATTCTGTCATCATCACTTTGTGCCAAATAACAATTTAAGTGTAGTTAGAGCCCTCCACCAGATGTACTCTCATTTGGAGTATATGACCAAACCGCTAAGTAAGGTTATATAGCGCTTGTGTCCCTCATATAGGACTCATATATACATTCCCAGCTGGATCAGATGAACCCTCACTCCTCTGTCACTCCACCTTCTCCTTTTGGTGCTCCTCAGCCATACGTCAATAGAGAGAAACTACCAAACATAGTGCTTTATCCTCATAAATATTTATTCACTAGTGTCGGGCTTGAACGTGTTGGGCTCGAATCAGCCATTCGTGTGTTCGTCAAATACATGAACGGTAAAGAGCGTTCAGCGGACTGTTTGCCAGCCGAGCAACCCACAAAGCAGTGCAATCTCACAGGAAAGGATTTTAGTGTTTTTTAGTGAAAATAGCAATTTGATAAACATTTGCACAAATATCACGGGGCCTTAAAAATCAGTAGCACCTTTTTTTTATTCTACAGGTCATATACTTTCAGAAAATGTATGGTTTTGGGGGCCTTTTACAAACTCTGAAAGCTGTAAAGGAAAAATAAAAAAAGGGATGGAAAAATTGCAAAAATGGTTTGGCCACCTGAGTTTAAAAGTGGAGAGCAGGCC